TCTTTCCGGGTCCCGCCCAGGGACCTAAGGTTAGAAATGGCAGCATGACACTTTCCACTGAGAAAAAAAAAAAAAAATTACATAGATAAAGCCCTCCGTAAAGTGTGGGCTGTACTTGTCAGAACAATTTTCTGTATCTCCTTGAGGCATGGACTTCCAGGAATCCCTTCAATTAGTCTACTGCAATCTTTTCCAACCAGTCCTAGGGCTCCAACTACAACAGGGATTGTTGATGTTCCCATATGCCACATTTTCGAGATTTCTATTTCAAGGTCCTTGTATTTATTATTATTGTTATTATTATTATTATTATTATTATTGTTATTATTATTGTTATTTTTATGAATATTAATATTATTATTTTTGTTAATATTATTATTATGAATATTATTATTGTTGTTGTTATAATTATTTTTATTATTGTTATTATTATTATTATCATTATTATTATTATGAATATTATTATTTTTATTATTATTATTATTATGAATATTATTACTATTGTTATTATTACTGTTATTATTATTATTATTGTTCTTGTTATTATTATTTTTATTTTTATTATTATTATGAATATTATTATTATTATTATTATCATCATCATCATTCGATTTCTGCTATGGACACACTACCTACCAAGTCTGCGGAAAGACCTAAGGCAGGTCGTGGTGTGTTGTTATGGCCACATTTCATGTTAATTTTTTTTTTTTTTTTTTTTTTTTTTATCTCCGATGAAGTTGCTAGCGTTACATAGACAAAGTTCTCCTTAGTGTGTGTGCTGTACTTAATAAGACAATTTTCTGTATGTCTCTTAAGCTGGGGTTTCAGGGATTCTTTCAATGTGTTGTTTTGTTCCATTTTTTATAATTCCAAGTGCACCTATTACCACTGGTATTATTCTTGTTTTCAATTTCCACATTTTTTCTATTTCAATTTCCAGGTCTTTGTATTTTGATAGTTTTTCAAATTCCTTGGTTGCTATGTTACAATCCGCTGGACAAGCCATATCAATTAGTAGGCAAGTTTTTTCTTTCTGGTTTTTGACAATAATGTCCGGCCTATTTGCTTCAATTATTGTTATTATTATTATTATTATTATTATTATTATTATTATGAATATTATTATTATTGTTATTAATATTATTATTGTTGTTGTTATAATTATTTTATTATTATTATTATTATTATTATTATTATGAATATTATTATTGTTATTATTATTATTATGGTTATTATTATTATGATTAATATTATTATTATGTTTATTATTATTATTATTATCACTATTATCACTATTATTATTATTGTTATTATTATGATTATTATTATTATTATTATTATTATTATTATTATTATTAAATCCTTTGATTTCTGTTATATACATATTTTCTTCTGCCTCCCTGCAGAGACCTAAGTTCTGAAATAGTATCAGGATATTTACCAGTTAACATTTTCGTAAAAAATTTTAAAAAAAGTATATTTCAAACAACAAAAAAAGACATACATTTTACATAGATAAAGACGATTGTAAGATGTGCGCTGTACTTGAGAGAACAGTTACTAATATTATTATTATTTTTATTCTTATTACAATTATTAATTCCTTTGATTTCTGTTGTATACATATTTCCTTACAGGTCCCAACCAGAAAAACTAAGGTCAGAACTCGTATCAGGACATTTGCCACATAAAACATTTGCAAAAAATATAAAAAATGAAATTAAATCAACCTAACAGCAAACACATTTTACATAAATAAAGCTCTTCATAGGGTGTGAGCCGTACTTGTGAGAACAATCAGTATTATTATTATTATTATTATTATTTATGTTTCTTTTGATTTCTGTTGTATACATATTTTCTTCTTGGTGCCAAATAGAGATCTAATTTCAGAAATCGTATGATGACATTTACCACATAAAGATTTTGTAAAAAATAAAAAAGAATAAAAATTAAATTAACCTAAGAGCACAAACATTTTATATAGATAAAGCCCTTGGGCGTGTGTGAAATCTACTTTTGAGAATAATAATAATAATAATAATAATTATTATTATTATTATTATTATTATTATTATTATTAAGTCATTTCCTTTCTGTTTTATACACATTTCCTTCTGTATCCTAACCAGAAGAATTAAAGTCAGAAATGATATCATGACTTTTTACACTTAACGTTTTTGTAAAAAATAAAAAAATAAAATTAAACAACTTAAGATCACACACATTTTACAAGTCCTTCTTAGGATGTCAGCTGTACTTGTGTGAACAATTATTATTATTATTATTATTATTACTTCCTTTGTATACTCATTTCCTTCTGGGTCCAAACAAGAAACCTAATGTCAGAAATGGTTTAGGACATTTTCCACTGATGCTATTATTATTATTTTTATTTTCTTTGATTTCTGGCGTTTACACATTTCTTTCCGGGTCCCACCCAGGGACCTAAGGTTAGAAATGGCGTCATGACACTTTCCACTGAAAGATTACATAGATAAAGCCCTTCATAAGGTGTGGGCTGTACTTGTCAGAACAATTTTCTGTATCTCCTTGAGGCATGGACTTCCAGGTATCCCTTCAATTAGTCTACTGGAATCTTTTCCAACCAGTCCTAGGGCTCCAAATTATTATTATTATTATTATTATTATTATTATTATTATTATTTCCTTTGATTTCTGTTGTATACTCATTTCCTTCCAGGTCCCAATCAGAGACCTAAGAAGTCACATCCTGACATCTTCAAATAATCATTAAAAAAAAAATTCCCTAAGATCCCACATAAATTTACATAAATAATACTCTTCATAATGCAACAGCTGTACTTGTTAGTACAATTTTATTATTATTATTATTATTTTCTTCCAGTATGACCATTTAATCTTAGCCAGGACCAAAGGTGCATTAAGAAGCTCTTATCGAATATCAAACTAATTACTACACCAGGTAACATGTTAGTGACAATATCGCGTGGCTCTAGGTGCTGTCTCTTCTTCCCTGATTCAATACATTACATTTTGCTAAGTACATTACTAGAACCAAAGAAGTAAGATGGAGCTAATATGATTCTGTTGTATTAATATTCTTAGTGGGAAGGACTTGCCTGCCTTGAAAATCAGCATTCGTATTGGTGGCTTTCACCATAGCTTGAACACCGACTACTAGCACCAGTGGTAAAGATACAAGTATCTGACCATCTTAGGCAGACCCCCTTCCCTTTGTTGTCGTATTCTTTATTATTATTGTTTCCTTCCAGATTTTGTTAAAGCACACTTCTTGTTTCAAAAAATCATACACTCATAGAACACCACACTATAATCCACTATCCTGACTGGCTCTTGGGCCTTTTCTTACACTCATGCAACACCACACCATAATCCACTAATCTGACTGGATCTTGGGTTTTTTCTTACACTCATACAATACCACGTCATAATCCACTACCCTGATTGGCTCTTGGGCCTTTTCTTATACTCATACAACACTACACTATAATCCACTACCCTGACTGGCTCTTGGGCCTTTTCTTATACTCATACAACACCATACTGTAACCCTCTAGCATAAGTAGCTCTTGGTTCTTTTCTCATGCTCATACAATATTACACATTAAACCTCTACCGTAAGTGGCTCTTGGGCCTTATACGGCACATGGTAACCCACTACCATAAGTGGCTCTTGGACATTCTCGTACGCACATCCAACGCCACACAGTAACCCTCTACTCTGAGTGGTGCTAGGGATTTTCCTCACACTCGTACAATACCACACATTAACCCTCTAACGGGAGTCTTGGGTCTTTTCTTAAACTCTTGGGTCTTTTCTTAAACGCATACAACAGATGATTAGAGACTCTTGGGCATTATCGTAAGGTTATACAATACCACACAGTAACAATCTACTTTTTGTGACTCATATAACACCTTACTGTAACACTTTAACGTGAGTTGCTTTTGTGAATTTTCCTACACTCGCACAACACCATACTGTAACCCTCTACCGTGAGTGACTCTTGGGCATTTTCTTACGCATATACAACACTACACAGTAACCCTCTACTCTGAGTGGCTCTTGGGCCTTTTCTTATACTCATTCAACACGATACCATTACCCTCTAGTGTGAGTAGCTCTTGGGCTTTTTCGTACGCTCATACAATACCACACAGTAACCCTAGACCGTGATTGCTTCGGCAATTAGTTGGAGATTCGTCTCCAGCTATGCTAGTCGAACACTCTGTCTTCGGACAGAGAAGGAACACAGACGAGCCTATGACGAAGGGCAGGGTCTCTTCTGGGGTGGTAGACAGCTATCCGACCCCGTTTTTACGGGGTCTACGGGGAATTTTTTCCCGAGCCCACGGGCTAGGCTTAACGGGGAGGTAAGTTAAAAAAAAAAAAAAAACTATACCGTGAGTCTCTCTCGGATCTTGTACTGGGTGAACATTTCTATAAAGAAGCTATATTTTAGCTGTATCACTTGTTTATAAATTTCTTTATAGAATGTTTTTTAGGGAGGAGGCTTTTAATGAGAAATTCCATGATCGGTCCGTGTGCTCTACAAATCATTGATACTACTGTCATTGTCGTATTACATAAGTTCAAAGTCCCTATAATAATGTCCTATGAGTTTATTACATTTATTATTCCATGTTCATTCTCTTATTTGTTCGGATAGCTGAAGTAGCCTTTTGAGTATTATATCATTTTTCCACATTGAAAACTTTAACAACTATTTTGTCCTCTCGACAAGACTTTACGGATTCGCATCATTATTTTAGTTTTTTTAAACTTTCAGGATATGTTCCGTTATCCCAAACGTTTTCATCTTTTTTAAGTAGCGTAACACAGTTTGTTTTTTTTTAATTCAATTTTTCTCTTTATTCTAAGATAAAGCTTCTGCTCAATTGGGGTGGGGGCAAATTAAGACTGCCAGGAAAAAAGATAAAAAAACCCTGTTTGGTCAGACATAAAGACGAAAGAAATTTTCCACAGAGAGGAAATGAACCATATCTACCAAGGTACTATACTTGTAAACCATATCTACAAAGGTACTATACTTGTAAACCATATCTACAAAGGTACTATACTTGTAAACCATATCTACAAAGGTACTATACTTGTAAACCATATTTACAAAGGTACTATACTTGTAAACCATATCTATAAAGGTACTATACTTGTAAACCATATCTACAAAGGTACTATACTTGTAAACCATATCTATAAAGGTACTATACTTGTAAACCATATCTACAAAGTTAACGTACTTGTAAACCATATCTACAAAGGTACTATACTTGTAAATCATATCTACAAAGTTACTATACTTGTAAACCATATTTACAAAGGTACTATACTTGTAAACCATATCTACAAAGGTACTATACTTGTAAATCATATCTACAAAGGTACTATACTTGTAAACCATATCTACAAAGGTACTATACTTGTAAACCACGAATCTTTATCTGCTGGGCACGGTAAAGATTCGCGCCTTTCTTTTTAAAATAAGGATCTCCTCCCACTTTTTTTTTTCTCTCAGTTTGAATAAACCAAAGCTGGTTTTCGATCAATCATCTTAGCTTTTTTGTCCAGGGTTCACAATATCTACAGTCGTTTTTCATAAGGCTTCCGACAACCCTGGACAATTGCTTTCCGATGGCTCAACGCAGCTCACGTCAAACAGCAACATTTATTTGTAACAACAACAGTATTTGGGCGCTACTATAGTATGATAACGACGGAGGCATTTGCGACCTACCTATCAATGACGATGTACTCTTTATTGCTGGAAAGTACTCAGGAAAAACCTATGATCTGCTTACTGCTTTTTTAAATGACATCATATTAGTTTACAAACATTAAAATCACTATTTTGTGATTTTTTAATAAAAAATTGTTAATGATTTTTTAATACATAACCAGTTCATTATTCACTGCCCTTAACACGAACCCTAACCTCTGACTCTAAACCTCTCATATTACCAACAGTTGGTAAATATACCATAGTAGAAAATGAACAGTACATATTATACTATAGTTATTGTCCAAGGATAACTTAGATGTGGCACAAGGCCGAAAGTATGGGGCATCTAGTGAGGATCGAACTCACTTTTCAGTTGTAACTGATCTAGCGAGACAAGCCTTCACCGATATTTGTTTGTACATGGCAATAGTTTAATTTGGCTCACGTTGTAACACAATATCTAAAAAGAAAAAAAAAACTGACATAATTTCCGATTACCTAGAGGCCTTCGAGTAAAAAAGTATTTTAAAAATAGGCAAAATTGTAATTTATCTCTTAGGTATTTATTTCAATTCCAAATGCAAATTCAAAGAATTCGTCATCCTTGCCGTATACATGCCTTATTCAGCTAGTCAGTAAAAAGCAGTGTCTGCATCTACGTGCAATGTAAGGGTTGTATCTATTCAAAGCGATTCGTCAAGTTTAAGTGCCAGTTATTTTGGGGAATGTTAAAACTCAGAAACGCCATTGAGTTTGTTTTATTTTTTTTAACACACTTAATAATCCCTAATCTAAAATCTCCCTAAAGAGCAGACCTTAAATCTCTCTATAAACACCAATCTTTCAAAAGACTGTAAATCCAAATCTCCCTAAAGACCGCAATCCTTTTAATCCATAATCCAGGTCTGCGTTTCCAAGACACACAACGCGTGGATGAATGCCTTTCCGGCTTTCAGCCCATATATTTGGAGGTAACTGGTGATTTGCTCAACTGCACAGCGACCCTACAACCACAGTCATGGAACTGATGCTGATAATGATCTTTGTTAATGTCATCTATACTAGAGTCAGTCGACCCATTACTTTCTGAGCGACTGTTCGGTTGAACTCTCTTCCTACGGACGGGAGGAACCCGAAGGAGGCTACGTCGAAGGGCGGAGTCTCTTTCGGGGAGGTAAAACGGGCCCTGAACCCGTTTATACGGGTTCAATGGGCATATTTTTGGCCGAGCCCACGGGTTCGGAGTGCCCACATTAAAAAGGCCTTGTGCCACATGACACCCTCGTGGGGGTGGGGGTGACTGAATATCGTCATCTATACTAGAGAAGGTCATTAAATCAATATTTTCTAATTTCTAATTAGTGGTTTAGGTCTAGAAACTTTGGTTTGTAATGAAGAGTCAAAATTCCCGAAAAACAAAACAGTTACATTTTAGATTTGATCTACTTAGGCATCTTTGTGGGGGATTTTCAGTAATAAAACGGATTCAGAGGAACAGAAATCTAGATCACGATTTTCTGATAAATATAAGGAAATTAATGTCAAACCTGGTATCTGATATCCAGCATATGGTGCCAAAAGCGGTCAGTGATCAATTTAACATATGAAAAGAACTGAATAAGTTTTAAATATCTTCCCGAAAACAATTTTCTTACATCTTGCAAGTTTGCTTTAATATTTGGGAACTTGCGCTAAAAAGGAGAAAAAAATGTCCCAGGTATTTTTGTTACAGTTATTCGAGGTGGGTGTCCTAGTGAAAAAAGAAGCTGGGAAAATATGGCTAAGAATTGAGCTGCCTGGATTTTGTAGTATAGGGCAAAAAAATCCACTTGATATAAATCACTTTTGAAAAAGAGTGCCCAGTTAAACCCGCCCATCATTTATAACATTCATTTGAATAAGATTTCAATGATGTACCGAGCTAAAATCTAATAGGCATCGCGAGATAAAAGAAGCGTGCTGTTTTGTCAAAATTCAGTCCTTTGGTTGCAAGCCCAAACTACATGTCTCCACTTCTCGGCCGTACCGACACGATTCACAAGATTACGGGTCTGCAAGGGTTGCCGGAAAATTGTCAAAAGCCAAACGACTTTGGGGCTTCACTCTATCTGGATTTACTTCCTCGGCCTTTTCTGTGTTTCCTGGGCTGTCGAGGTCTATCTAACCGAAACAGCTGGTTATGAGGCGCCAGCTGTTCGCCTTTGCCTATTCTCCGGTTTTAAGATGAACTTATTTGTCAGAGGCTATTTGATTTACTTCCATAATTTTTTCCGTGTTTAGATGTCAGCAAGACAGTGGGGATTTAAAATCAGGGTTTTCCTTTGCCTAGATTGACTGCCTTTTGGGGGGGGGGCGTCGAGCTCTATCTAAGCGAAACAGCTGGTTAGGAGGCGCCAGTTGTTCGCCTTCGTCCATTCCCCGGCTTTGAGCTGGACTTACTTGTCAGAGGCTATTTTAGCTATTTGCCACAGAAGGATTTTATAGACAAAAAGAGACAGAGAAATCTCCTCACCGGAACCGATTATCTAAAAATAAATAACTAAACATGAGAGTTTTGATTAAGTTTAAAATCCTGAAACTGTCTACTTTCAACACGTATCATTTGGGAAATATTTAAAAAATGTCAAATGTTTTCTTGCGAGCTCGCGGCTTCAAAAAAAAAAAAAAATATATAGCCAAAAATAAAGTCGAAAATCTTAAAGACTAAATCCAAACCTCTCAAAATATCACAATCCCAAATATCCTTTAAAACTAAATACACACAAATGGACTAAGGAGAATTCTAAAACATTTGCCTAAATATTTTTTATTGCCCTTAGGACCGAAAAATACAAGCCCTAAGAAAATACATTTTATTAAGTACTCTGCAAATACACGTAAAAGATGTAATTCCACTTATATCTTTTACGTGTATTTGAACATGAATCCGGTGGGTCTTGAAGAGGACTGTCCTTCGTCGGACCTCGTAGACTGGCGCTACAGAATCACGAACAAAGAACTTTACCAAATAACAGAAACCTCATCACTTGAAGGCTTCCAACAGCAGCAACAACTAAAATGGATAATATATTTGTCTAGAAGATAAAATAAGGACATAATTAAGTTGTTGACTTTCCACACTACCTTAAACAAAAAGTTAGGAAGGAAGACTACCAATATCGGTAAGAGTGATACCAGTTTGTGAACTTGAGGAATTTTTTTTTTTAAAAGCAAAACTATTGAACTACTGAATGCCGAATGTTTCCTTATAAAGGAAACGGCTAATTACCGTCGCTACACTAAGAATAAAAGAAAGTTTACATTCCTACAAATATGGAATTACTGACGCCATCTACAGGTTTTTATACATTTGGATAGCCTGAATTTGAAAAAAAAATCGACGAAACTTTTGTCTTCGGACTAGATTGGCCTATTAAAGGATTAGAACCCCAGCCAGCCATGTTTATACGAATAAGAAGAAACCCTTGAGTCCCATGGCTCCTATCGATTTTTACACGTTAGATAAAAACAATAAAAAAAATCGAGGCGTTTCACCAAATTAAAAAATAATACCGACTTTAAATTAACATCTCGAGTTTCTGTTTTATTTCCACATTGCAAAATTTATCTATATTAACACGAATGTAAGCATGCCCCGACTGTCAGACAAGCCAATATATTTAGTTTTTTGGCTTTCCGTCTATCAGTAACAAATATCCTGATGCTACACCAAACATGGCTCCAATGGCTTCGGGTTAACTGACTGGAAGTTTTAACAAATACGTTTTGTTTTGGTGAATTAAGGGGCTACTGTAAATATCCCATTTTAGTACCTATGGTTAACAACATTTTTTTTTCAGTTGCCTAAACTTAAGCAGCTGGATACGTACCCGGTCATCCCCGGGGCTAACTATCTGTTCAGGGATAGTAAAGTGGCATCATGGCTGTCTAGACGGTTAATTTTCTTAATTTAAGTCTGAAGGTAGAGGCAGCTGAGGGTCATATCTTAGATAGAGAGCAATAACCTCGATTGGAGACGGTCTGAATGAACTGGTTTACCCGACCTGAAGGTATTTCTAACTGGGTCCCACCCGCACGAGTATGCGTTTTTTTTTTTTTTTTCCTTTTTTTTTTTTATCAAATCTTAGTACTATATACGGCATATTTGGCTGTGACGCATGTGCCTGGGATAACCTTATCAAACTGGGTGTCATGATGTGTATATTGGGCTTCGTAAATTTGTACCCCAGCGTCACTTTGTCGGGGTACATCTTTTTTATTGAATAATAATAATAATAATAATAATAATAATAATAATAATAATAAGTGGAAAGTGTCATGATGCCATTTCTAACCATAGGTCCTTGGGCGGGACCCGGAAAGAAATGTGTACACGTCAGAAATCAAATGAAAAAAAAAAAAAATAATAGTAATAATAATAATAAGCAGAAGAAATCCAAAAAATTAATTTAATTATAGATCAAAATTTATATGACAAGAAAAAATAAAAATCATCGGTGAAAAAAATATAAAGAAAAAAAAAAAAAATATATATATATATATATATATATATATATATATATATATATATATATATATATAAGAAAAAGAGGAGATAATTCAAAATAATACAAAGTAAAAAAACAGAGAAAGAAAAGTGGAAGGAAGAAGAAATAGAGAAGTTGATAAAAAAAGCAGATGAGATATTTAAAGTGCAAAAGATAATTGTTTACAAAAAAAATAAATTTTGGTTACATTTCTTTTTTCTTTCCTTTTTTTTT